GAAGGAAGGTTGGGCAATCTACTTCCGTAGTGTTAATGCCTCAGAAACCCAAGGAGGGGTTGCTATGAGTAGGATCCAACTCCACGGCAATGGTTGTGTTTTGTATACCTCAGGCAACATGGCTGCCTTTGGGATTGGTTCAGGTGCTGGGGTGAGGGCAGAATTCCTGTGCTTCTCCCTGGGGGAAGCCCCCTTGCCTAAGCCCTGAGAATGGCTGAGATCTAGTTACGCCCTGGGGCCTTGATGTTGCAAGACCATTCATCTTTCCTGATGTAAAGGACTAAGTTCAGAGGAGGAGGATTTGATGTGTGTGGCATCTTAGTGTTTTGAGATCACTGCTTGAATGTTCACCGGATTCTCCTTTCCTCAGCTAATCAGCATCGGCTCTTCCTATAACTATGGGAATGAGGATCAGGCAGAATTCCTCTGTGTTGTCTCCAGAGAGCTAAACAACTCCACCAACGGCATCGTCATAGAGCCTAGTGAAAAGGCCAAGGTGAGAGCTCCCCCGCGGGGCCCTGGCTGCCCCTCATCACGCACCCTCCCTGGCTTAACCTCGGTCTTGTGGCTGTTGTGTTTACAGTCAGCATTCCTAGAGCCCTGACCGGGGTTTGTAGTTAGAAAATGGGAGCTTACAGAGGGGAGGGTCCTCCAGCTTCTGTTCAATGCATGGCGAAAAGAGCTTCCTGCTCAGCTGAGAATTCTGAAACTCACTTGGAAAATATTTCGCCTTTACACTTTGAAACTGTGCTTTGGTGAGAAGAGAGGCATCTTGCTACCCTTGTGATTTTTTTTCACCCTTAAATTACTGGAAAATTGTTTTACACTGTTGTCGTTTTTTTCCTCCACCATGCCCCCCAAACCCAAGCAGTGCACACTCACCCCCAATCTGAGTCACTGTGAAGCTGAAACCATTTTCTTTAGCACGGGGAGACTTTGGCCCAACAGCAAACTGTTGAGCAGGAGAGGTTTTCCCAGCCAGAGGCCGAGGCACTCTCCTGCCTTGCTTCCTGGGGGAGCCAGGGTTATCTGAGTGGCCTCTCCGCCACCAGTCTGCTGAGCGCCCTTGGCCTGGAAACGCGCGGCCCGGGCTCCACGCCTCAGCCCTCTCCCCACCTCTCCTCCTAGATTCTTCAGGAGAGAGGATCGCGGATGTGAACGAAGAGCGTGGAGCGCCAGAAGCCTGAGCGTCAGGAGGGCAGTCCCGCAGGGCGTCTCTGAAGCGCCGCCTGCTCCTTTACAGTCACTGAGCTACTGAGCTGCCGCCGAGCCCAGCGAGCCTGGCCCCGGCGGAGAAGGGCTCCAGGGGGGACCAGAGGAACCTACCCCACCCGCAGGAGTCTGGAGACAGACGTGACTCCTGGCTGCCGAGCACCTCCTCAGAAACCTGCTTTTGTTTTCTTAGCCAGTGTTACAACACATCTTTGCCACAGCAGCTGGGCCAGGTTCCCAGTGCGAGCCTTTGTGGGGATCTAGGGGACGAGGAAGGCCCAGCTCCTTGTCGGTGGCCTGGGCTGCAGGGAAGCTGGAACACATGCAGGAGGATGTGTCCCTGAGCCAGGCCGTGTCCTCACCCGTGTGCCACGGATGTGTCCCTGAGCCGGGCCGTGTCCTCACCTGTGTGCCAAGGTGGACGTCTGCAGCTGCTGTGTACCATGGCCTCCCTCCTCTGCTCCTTCAGTGCTGCCGATACCATGTCCTAGCTTCAGCCTGTCTGATGGGATTGGGGTCTGGATGAGGGATAGAGTTGCCCAGAGTAGGCCTTATGCCTTTGAACAAGCGCCACCTGGAGGTGGGGCGGCTGGGCATCCTTCCCCTGGGTCTGCGAGGTCCCTGGAGGCTGGTGACGGCTGCTTGGGATCCGGGCCTCGGCCGCCCCTGTGTCAGCTGTTCCGATTGTCTCTAGCACCTGGACCCTCCGTGAGTTAGTGTTCTTCCGAGGAAGAGGCTTGAGACGGGCCACGTCCTGCTCTGATCCGGACACCAAAGAGATGGGAGCTGTAGTGGGTAGGACTGCTTCTGCAGCTTTTTTGCGCCCCGTTTGCCCAATCTTCCTTCCTTGTCTTTCTAAACTGGACCAAGTAGAGAGGGGCTCTGTAGACCCTCTGGTGACTTGGGGTGGGGAAGGGTGTCTCTTTGAAAGTTGCCAAATGTGTAACGTCCTTTCAGCAGTGTTGTTATTTCTCTGATTGTCACTTGGAAATGCCTTGACTGAACACGTGGTATTCTTGCCTCCTCCTGGCTTCGGACTGTGGCCAACCTATCCCGCTGTGTCTCAGACCCACCCCCCTGCTCCTTTCTGCGGGTGCCACAGTGTCGAGGACCAAGTCCTTGTGAGCCCCTCTTTGGGCTGCGGCCACACAACTTGAACCTGGACTTTCTCTCCGAGATCCTGAGTCTTGAGCAGTCATGGAGAAAAAGGGCAGAGCATTTGTATTGTACCCTTGGGTAACTTGAGTAGTTTGGCATGTTGTATGCAGAGGGCGCCTCCGGGGAACGCACCGTCTGTAAAAGGCCACAGCACAGGCCAGTCGCTTCTGGCACCTTCAGAGCAGAGGTTCTCTGTCTGCACAGCTCGCTGCTTACAAGGTGGGCCTGGAAGAGTGATTTTGGGCAATGACTGAAGACTGTGTTAAATGTCCTTTGACATAACACCCCCAACCCTTTTGTGACCAAATTACTTTATGTTTGTTAGATTTTGGGGTGATATAAGGGTTTTTAGTAACAGAATGCATGGTGAATCATTGAGTCATGTTAAAACTTTGTTGGGTAAAATGGATTTTGATAAATATTGTATGGGACATGTATGTCCCACTGGACTCTGAAGGTGGATAGGTGGGATGAAGCATGAGAAAAATCCTTTGTTCTTAGCAAATGTATTTTATTGTGTGAAACTTGGAAACGTGAGGTAACACATAAAGACACCCTGCAGTGGCCGCACTTCATGGTTCGTGTCTCCTTCGTGGTGTGTTCCTTGCATCACCGTCTGGCTCCCTCGACAGGTAAGTGCTTCCCAACCTGTCGGAGCCCTACGTCATTGGGCACCCCGCTTGCTCCTGACTTGTTCTTCACAGGAACGAAAGGTCTCCCTATTATTTGGATTTCCCAGCCCACAGAGAGCTGGTCACATCCGCCCCAATGTTCCAGCTGGACGTTGTGAAACTGTTTAAATGCCAAGGTCAATAAGGAAATACATGTAAGGGAGCACCTTCTGATTGCCTGCCTTTCGCACCTCTGCCCAAGGCCACCCACCTCTGATTGCATTGTATTTTGCAGCTGCTTTTGGGCAAGAGGTTACTGTGGAGAACCACCTTTGCTCTTTTGATACCAGTTGATGTCATATGGGTTGTGGAACATTGACAGTCACAGGTTTATTGTCCTGCCACTTTATTGCTAACACACATCCTTTCATATAAAACAGATTCTCCGAGCTGTCAGTTCCTGGCTCTTCATCACTTTGGTAGCACCTTTCTGTCGGCTGACACTGGGCCTCCTGCACACAGGCACCTTCCATCCGTGCCTCTCATCAAGTGATAGGGAAAAACCATCGAAGGCAATGAGCCTATGAGAATGGGTGCAGGACTGACACAGTCCAGGCACAACACTCACCAAGGACACAGCTGAACCACTGTCTACACCTTTTTTTCCAGAATAGCTATCAAACTGACAAAGCCAGCCCGTGAGTCAGCCAAGCACAGGACTGCACCCGTGCTTCACGGCCTATATAGTTTTATCAGCATGTCTTGCTTTATTGATGGGTGGCCCTTGCCTGGCACCGTGCTTTCCTCAATGGCTATGACACTTGGTACACACACTTTTGTTAGGCAGCTGTTGAGAGCACACCTGGGCCTAGTGAGGGAAGCTGGTCAGAGCCAGGTTCTCTGGGCACAGCTGCTGATTGTCATTGCGTACCTTCTTGTTCAGTCTCTTGAATCTTGTTTAGTCATTAGTTCTGCAGTAGAAGTCCCAGAGGGGAGGATCACTGGGCCAGTAATGTCTCAGCTCTGGCAAGACACATATTTCCCATCCATCCGTCCGTGCATGGCAGTTTGCGTCTTCCCTTCCTCTGTGGTAGTTGGCTGCTGGTTCTTACTTGGTGGCCCTGTAGGTCGTGTTGTGTGCTCTCAGGTCTTCGTTTGTGCCTTTATAATTTCCAAAACCTCATCAGTAAACACTGACAGAAAATAATCTACTTCTTTCCCTTCCTGGCTCAAGTCTGGGTGAGCTTGGGCAGGTGGCGGAAGCAAATCCACTCTATTTTCAAAGAGGGAGACGTATTTACCCCATTCACCTTTTTCTTCACTTTCATCAGGGGAGTCGCCCTGTGGTTCAACCCTTTCTTCGGCAGCACCAACTGCATCATCATCCTCCAATCCTGTGTCAGCGCCACTCCTGTTACCACCAAGATGAGCTGTAGATTCCATAAGACGGGCCCCCTCATCCCAGACAACTTGGTCATGCTCCTAAAAATCATCCTCATGGGCAGAGGGAAAAAAAATTATCTAGAATTTCTTTGTCCTTCAGAGTCCGTTTCTAAAAATGAAATTTTCTAGAAACAAACCTAGGTTCTGCAAAACCAGGATAATAGCATACCTTCAAACCAACATGAGACACACAAGAGGAGACACTGTGTGCTTCTGGCCTAGACATACAACAGAGTTCTGGTAGCATAGTGTGTAAGGCATTTGACTGCTAACCAGGAGGCTGGCAGTTCAAACCCATCAGCCACTCTTCAGAAGGAAGACTGGGCCATCTACTTCCATAGAGATGGTGCTTCAGAAACCCAAGGAGGGGTCGCTATGAGGGTTT